GAATCATTTGACATGGCCTGAACAATATATGTTTCAATTCATTTCCATTTTCTTCGACTACTTTTCCATAGAAATATATTTTATGCCAAAATTCTGGACGAGCAATTTCTCACGGCTAAAATGGAACGCTTGTGATTGAATAAGTTTATTAATCAAGACTTAAATTTTCATTTTTATATCAAAGTCAACCATCGGAATATTCTTCTTGCAAACATCTTTGATTTTTTGTGTGAACATACCCAGATCAAAAATAACTGACATTTAATCGGACATAAATGGCTGTTAACGAAATGGCTAACAACAGGCTTTTGATTGTGAAAAAATGGTTAGTTAATAATGGTCATTGGCCTTCATTTGATCCTTAACAATGTCCTAGAAATAAGCAATTAATTGTGCTTTGGTAAAGCTCATATTTAGATAACTATAAAAAGAAGTGCTCCGAAGCGCTCTGCTTTTGAGGACTGTTCTGGACTACCCCAAAAAAAGAGTATTGTAGAGTGCTCTTAGTGGCTTTTTTCAAAAGGAGTACTCCTTCTGACCTTTTTCTGACTGAGCGATTAAACAAGATTTGAAACAAAAAACGGTGATTAAATGTTACTTTCGCAATCAGATTGATTGAACTTTTGTAACATTCATTTGCATTTATGAAATCAATCAATGCGTAGACCAAACTTTACTGGCTGTTTAGTGACGTCACAATAGTGAATAGCAAATTTTGATTCTTGACGTTTATCCGTTTCTTTCGTGGCTGATTTATTGTATGACAGTTGATGATAATTTTTAGTCATATAAACATCAAATTACAAGTTCTCCTTTTCTCATCATTTTTTAAAGATAAACATCGGTTATATTGTTGATGAAAAGATATGCAAGACATGCATTTTTTGAGACACAGTAAAAGACTATTCTAAAAATTTTGAAATTCGCGATCAGTCAGAAGGCTCAGATCTTTTGTTTTGACAATGTCCTTATTCACAAGGAAAAACACCGCTTTCTGTAATTGCTTTCTCCCGAATAGAGAAAGGTTTTAATTGATTCAGTTAAGTTAGAATATTACATTTTCTACAGACAGTAAAAATAGTGAAGATTATCAAATAAATAATTCTACATTTTATTTCATGATGGTAAGACGTGTACTTTAGTCTTTGGTTCCTCTGAATACGCAGTTGTTTGTTCTATGCAATATTTAAATCGTAGTCCGCCATCACCATTACAACCTTCTGTTATTAAAAAAGCAAAATCTCTTGAGAATACATGTGATCGAAACGAAATGACTGATAACAACACATTATCACAAATTATAAAGGATACGTTCTCTACTCCTGTATTTATCGAACAATTATGCAATTCCTTGATTAATTCTGACATATTTCTTGAAGCGATTGAAACTATAGTTGCATCCGCTTGTAAACAACAGCAAGAGCAAATTATTGAATTAACTGTCGAATTAGATAGAACGAAATCCGAATTGGTTAAAGTGTCATCCCACCTAAATGATTTGGAACAGTATGGTAAACGTAAAGATCTGCTTATTCACGGTATTCCAGTGAAAAACGACGAAAACTTATATACAACAGTAATGGAATTAGGAAATGCCTTAGGTACTAAACTAAACAGGGACGACTTCAATGCAATTCATCGTTTGCCAGCAAAAAGAACAGGTGATAAATTAAAGTCAACAATTATTGTAAGTTTTGTGCGTATTACTGATCGTAATAAATTCTATCTATCACACAAACAACTTGGGCGACACGAAAAATTCAAAAATATTTTTGTTAACGAACATTTAACATCGTACAACAATCAATTGTATTTTTATGCAAAACAAAAGCTAGATAAAAAGAGAGTATTTACACGGAACGGTAACGTTTATCTATTTATTGAAAAAGGTAAATATAGAAGATTTCAGTCTATGGTGGACATCGACAATGCTTATGATCAATCAAGTAACTGTGCTATTCGGATGATCTCGTCATGACCCTTCCATTATTCACAATCATTTTCTTCTTTAGCCATTTCTTCTCATTCTCCTTCTTCTCTTATCCTTTATCTATTCTGTCCAACGCTATTTATGTACTAGTATGTGTTAGGTCCTGTTTTGGTGGTGGTAGAGTGGCTATTTTCCTTCCTCCATAAGTAAGGTTAAAGGACACGTGTTTGCTGGTGAAATATTTACATTTATGAATATAAGAAGTCTACTTCCACAGAGGGATGTTGTTAGTGCCTATTTGTCTCTTGTTTGTCCTGTGTTTTTGTGTCTAACTGAGACTTGGCTTGATCATAGTATTTTAGATAGGGATATTAACTTTCTTCACTATCAGTCCCCAATGCGCTTAGATCGAGATCGCCATGGTGGGGGATGTGCGGTTTATGTTAGAAGTGATTTTCACTGTATACGATTACTTGAGTTTGAAAATGCAAGATTTGAAATACTAATAATGCGCTTAACATTAGGGAATCACTTAAGTGTAATAATTTTGAATGTGTATCGTCCACAGACGCTTACTGTAAGGCAAATCAATGAGCAATTACACAATGTACTTGAAGAAATAAATAAATCAAAATATAACAAAGATTATATTATTATAGTAGGTAACTTCAATGCGCATAATAAATCTTGGTCTATGAATAACGTAGATTCAACTAAGGATGGAGTAGAGTTCGAAGAATTTCTTGAATCAGAAAATTTATTTCAATTAGTTCGAGGAGTAACAAGAGAAGTATCAAACACTTGTTTAGATCTAATTATCACCACGAATCCATCTTTTATTAAAGATGTAGTAGTTCAACCAAAGTTAGATAGAAGTGATCACAGTTTTATAGA